CACTGATGACTGGCGTAGGACTGCGATTTTTCACACCTACACCAAAATCAAGGATAAGAACTATAAGTTCATAGTGGATAGTGGCAACTGCATCACTGTTGTATCCTTAGATTTTTGACAACGATATCCACATCTATGGGCGTTCGAACACCTGCGTGTTTGAACATGAGGGTAAAAAGATCAAGCTTTTATCATCGCAGAACCGGGTTAAGGATGACTCCAAATCCAACCATAACAAGTCCAAGAATGTACTGAACCTAGTCATCGCCAAGGTTCTGGATTCTGAGATTGCTCAAGGAGCACCCCTGTATGCCTTAGTCGGTCGTGAGATTCCCACTGAGTGTGACGACCCAATCCCTCAGGAAGTTCAACCTAATCTAGGCCAGTTTGCTGATGTCTTTTCCGATGATCTCCCAGATCAGTTACCTCCACTTAGAGACATTCAGCATATCATAGACTTTATCCCTGGAGTCTCCCTCCCTAACCTGCCATACTATCGCATAAACCCCACGGAACATGCTAACTCAAGAAGCAAATAAATAAGTGACATCGGAGCTTGGAAAGTCCGTCAGAGACGTGGTCGTAGATATACGGCCACGATCGAGTTGAAATATTTTTTAGTAGTATTATGTATTTGTCTTTTATTATTTTATGATTGTATTTGCTTTTATTTTTTTCTGCTCTTACCCCTTACTTAAAGGAAGTCGTGTGTAAGCCTAAAGGGCATTGTCGTCTTTTTTATTCTGAGTCCTTTGTATGAGGTTATATATAGCCCTCATGTTCTCTTTTCATGTTTAATAATTAAATAATAAAAAATTTCCATTGTTTGAGTTCCTTGGGAGAGAACCCTTGGAGAGGAAATCGCATCACCCACCAGCCTTAGAAGAGTCTGGGCTCATGATTAGTTCTCTTATTTTGTCTTCCCCCTCTTCCCCACCCAACACCTCCGGCCCACCATCCCCCTCACCACCTCAAGGCCAAGCTACCGGCCACTTTAGCCTCACCCTCACCACCGGATAAACCCCTCATCTCCACCACCACCCGAGCCTATCTCTCTTTCCCCCACCACTACCCACGGCCAAACCGCAAGTCGTTAGCCTCCCCTTGGTTTCCCTCCATCTTCACTCACCATTTTCATTCCAAATTTAATTTATTCATTTAAGAAAGCATTGATTGCCTTCATAAACCCCTCCACCCTCACCCCATAGCTGTCGACTACCAAACCCCTCCTCCTCCTCCTCCTCCTCCTCCTCGATCTAATTGGAATTGTTTCCAAAATTCCACTAAGCTCTCTTGGAAATAATTCCTATTTCCCCTCCACCCCTCTTGGCCAAAATCCCCCCATGCCCCCACCTATTTAGTTTCTTTCCAAAGATAATTTCCCCAATTGGAATTAAATTGAATCCCTCTCCCTCACTCTATCCCGCCACCCCTCTCTCTCTCTCCCTTCCTTAATTCCTCTCAATCAAGAGCATTAATTAGGAAGTTGTTTGAATTAATTTTCCTCCACAAAATATGAACCTAACTTAATCCCCTACCCTCCTTCATTAGTCGGCCACCCTTGCCCGCTTCCCTGCTTCAACTCTTGAGAGAAACTTCTTTCTCTCTCGAGAAGTGTTCAACGGAAGCAACCACAATCTTCATCCACGGATCAACCCCTTCGACACCAAAGAATGGCCGATCTGGAGCATGACTACATATTTTCTTACGACGAGCAAGGGAACGTCAACACCCTCCACTCCACCTTCGACAGTTCGACTTCAACCCGGAAGTCGATAATTCCATTGAAGAGTACGTGGACCGTATCATCTTCACGCTTTCGAAGGCCATCGACGAGCAACTTACCAGTGACAAATTGTTTCGGGATAATAACAAGGGTGAATTTCTTTCCTCTTCATTTATCTTTCTAATTTGCTAACCTTGAAGGTGGTGATTTAATCCCAAAGTTCTCGTACTCCGCCTTTTGCCTCCACTTAGTAAACGTAGGATTTGAGTTTACTTTCTATGTTGTTTATCTCAAATTTAGACTAGGGAGTTTTGTTGAATAACTACTTAATTCGCATGTTGTTGAAATTCTAAGTTGTTTTGATAATTCAAGTGCTTAGTATGTGATTTAGCCTAAGCATAGCTACCCCTCTTGCATTTTCTTTTATCATTTTGATTGCTAATAGACTTAATTGTTGTTTGTTCTTATCACAATCGTGCAAGTTCTTAGCGCATTCATTTAAAAGCATTGTAGTCCTGCATCATCTAGGACTCTTAGTTGGGTAGCACGATGTACAAGGAGATGGGTTGAGAGGAATAAGCATTGTTGGCTTATATAAAAAGTTGGAGTATCGAGTCGACATGGAAAAGATCTAAGGTTGATTGGAGAGAGAGCAGGGTGAGATTACTAGACAACTACAAAGATGGTTGAGGGGAAAAAGGCTGGATAGATCCCTTATGGAAGGGTCCCTTTATGAGAATTTAGTTTGACTTTGAGTCCTCGATTTTGTAGCTAGTGGCATCAAAGAAGACAAACATAGAATTTTCAGTAGTGAGTTGGTGAACTGATACAAGGTTCTAGAAGGGTTTGGGACCTTACATGTCAAATGGCGAATGGCGGACCATGGCGCAAAGTTCTTTGTAGAGTCATAATGAAAAATGCACGGCGCGGCGCACGCAATTTTAAACATGGCACAGATTATAAAATAATTTTAATATATTTATATATAATACCTTTAAATAGTAAATAATATGTTGATTTTAGCAAGATTTAAGCATAAATATCTGGCCAAATAGCAAAAATGACAACTTTAAATTTTACAGAAACTTACATTGATATATTTGAGCAGGATTTAAGCATAATTTAGTTTAAATCCTACCAAATAGCAAAAATGACAACTTTGAATCCAACAAAAAGTTAAATTTTTTGATATTTTATTAATTTTTTTATTTAATTATCAAATAATTAATTATAATATTAATATATAAATCTTAAAATTATAATTATAATTTATAGTTTACAATTTATAACATATTAATAAAATTGTGCACATTATTTACGCATTGCATCATGCACCATTGCTCATGCATGGCGCAAATAGTGCGAGTTATTTTGATGCATCGCGCCACTCCAAGCAAATAACACCATACATGTGCCATGCTGCGCCATACGCCATAGCGCACGCCATTTTGCGCCATTAACATGAATGTTTGGGACATGAAGTAGTTGGGAGACAAGTAGCTTATTGATCAATGTAGAAAGAATACCATGGCCAGTGAGTCAAAGGTAAAATGAGAGTTTTCCCTATAGTCGAGATACCAGTCGACATACCAGTCGACAATGGATATGGGTGATTCAACAAAGAGAGCATGAGATTATAGTTGGGACTATTGTAATTGAGGTCTTAACGATGCCAACACTTGATTGTTGAATAACCCCGTTCACCACATATCTAGAGCTAGCTCACCTATATAAAAATGTTAAAAGTCAACCAAGCTTGTCTGTGTTAGAGTTGTTTCGAGCTTAGCTTGAAGCAAGATTAAAGAATTGAGCTATCCATCTGTCCCTAGTTGTTACAAGTACCACATTGGGTTTCGACATCTTAAGTAGTTGGAGAACTCATTCAACTTCATTAGCAAAGTTTATTCCTTAATTGAATAGTAGGTAAAAGATATCGTCTAGACTTAGTGGTTGGATATTGCTTCTTATAGCTATCTTGAATGCTTAAGAGGCTGAAGGCAATTCGAGGTGTAAGGAATTATGTCTTTTAGATCTAATGAGGAGTCAGTTGTAGCTATGCTATGAATCTTAGCTTTGATTTCAAATAGGCATTGGATCATAGACTGATCCTTCATGACAATGTGATGAAGTTCATTTTCAGTTGAACTAATGCGAGAATGATTGGTGGGTTTGCAATCATTGTTCATTGGCAGTCCAAGATTTCAATGCCAGAGTCCAAAGTGAGAACCTATGGCAAAAGGGATGTAATAGAATATAAAGCAGATGTGAGGTTCTCGTCTATAAGACTCATGTATTGCATTAAGTACTACGAGTGATAAAACCTTCGTCACTAATAATTTGCTTTACAAGGAAAATGATAGATCCATCAAGGTACTCACCAAAGCCATTAGCCCGAAATATTTGAGAACTTTTGATCCCCGTACAAGGGGATTCTCTAATGTAAGTTGGACATTGATGATGCTTTTGATGTTGAATGTTAGAAATATTATTAGAGAGGAAATAGAGATATCCCCCATTTTGAGATAAGAGCTTTCATTATTTCTTGAATTGTTGGTTATTGAAGCTGCCAATGGACAAATGAAGTAGAGAGGTGCAAACAGGAAGGAAGCTAGGGGGAGGAAGGCACCAGGAGATATGAGCTAGAGAGAGTTGAGCCATGGGACTCTTTTCTCTAATACCATGAAAGCTTATCATAATCAATTCATATTATTAAACATAATGCACAGAAATCATTTCATTCATTAACCATGCAGAGACTATAGTAAAATCATACGGGTAAAGGTAGCAGGATTTGTTTTATACGAGTGGCTGTGATGGCTTGTGAGTTGTATACAAATAGATAAGCAGGGTACGGGTAAACTATAGCATAACTTATCAATAAAATTTTAAAAGGAACTCCTTGCACACCAAAAGTATTCCAAAGGACCCAACCAATAAAAGCAGTCTATTAAACCAAATGATGTGTAATTAATACACACCACAGATAAAACGGATAAACATGCCGGTTCATTCCCATAAACTATGCAATCTTAAAGCCATTTACAAAACCAATTAAAAACATACATCACAGAAATCTAATGAAATACAAAAAAATTAAAAATGACATTGTTTTCGTAAAAAAAACTAAACAAATATATATATATATATATATAAGGCAGAATCACCTTAAGCCTTGAATCAGGATTTTAGATGAAGCATGAAAGAGACGATACCATTAGGCATGAAATAGTAATCAAGGTGGAAAAAAACAAAAGAAAATAGTGAAAAAATTGACCTCATGGTATGCGAATAAATTGCTTCGAGCAATGTTTTCTGCAATGAGACCTCTGCAGTTGCGTCATTATTACAATCAAGGGCTACCTAGGTGAAACAACGATAGCAAACGGTAAATAGGATTTTAAATTTGATAAAATACCAACCAACTGAAGGTCGCGTTACTTAAGCACAGCAATACCCGGCTTGTTCTGCCGAGCAAGCTTTTTCCATTCAGTGTGGAATGACCCAGGGCGGTCTATCCTTTCATACGTATGAGCGCCAAAAAGATCTCTTTGTGCCTGGACCAGATTTGCTGGCAACCTTGCTCTTCTATATGTGTCAAAGTAAGCAAGGCTGGCGCACATACCTGGAGTGCTAATCCCTGCTTCAATGGCCAGGCCCACAACCCTTCTCCATGCTGCCTGCCTTTGAACCATCTCCCTCGCAAACTCTGGATCTACAATCAAATTGGCCAAAACCCGGTTCCTCTCATAAGCCTTTTTTATCCTGTCCAGGAACCGTGCCCTTATGATGCAACCGCCTTTCCAGATCCTAGCCAATTCCCCCAAATTGAGGTTCCAGGCTTTCTCCGCACTCTTTGCCCTAAGTAAGTTCATCCCTTGAGCATAGCTGCATATCTTGGAAGCGTACAGAGCCTGTCTTACGTCGTCAATCAGCCTCTTCTTGTCAATGGATCTACCGGTGTTTACATTGACATCGCCCTTGATCCCAGCCTCTTCTAGAATCCTAGCAGCAGACACCCTCTCCTCCTTCAACCCACTAAGGTAACGGCAGTCAAGAGAAGCGGCAATGGTAGGGGCAGCAATGGAAAGATCTGCCGCCTGCTGGACTGTCCATTTGCCCGTCCCCTTCATCCCTGTCTTATCGAGAATCTTGTCAACTAGATCTCCCTCACAGTGTTCATCCTTAACATTAAAGATATCGGCGGTGATCTCGATGAGGAAGCTCTCGAGCTCTCCAAGATTCCAGTCAGCAAAAATCTCAGCAAGCTCAGAGTTGGAGAGGCCGCCAATGGTCTTCAGGACGTCATATGCCTCAGATATGAGCTGCATATCGCCGTATTCAATGCCGTTATGAACCATCTTGACGAAGTTTCCGGAGCCGCCCTCCCCCACATAGGTGACGCAGGGTCCGTCATCGACCTGCGCGGCCACACGAGTAACGATCTTCTCTATGTTTTTGTATGCCTGAAAGGATCCTCCAGGCATGAGGGAAGGACCATGGCGGGCACCATCTTCGCCGCCAGAGACGCCCATGCCGAGATAGAGAAGGCCGCAAGCAGCGGCGTCACGGATGCGGCGCTCGGTATTCTCGTACCACTCGTTTCCTCCGTCTATGATGGCGTCGCCGGGCTCCATGAATTGGGAGAGCGTGTTGATGGTCTCGTCGACGGGGGCACCGGCCTTAACGAGGATGATAATGGAGCGCGGCCGCTGGATCGAAAGCACAAAATCAGCAGGAGAGTGGTGACCAGATATGGGCAGACCACCCTCGGAAGCCGCGCGACCGACGGTCTCGTCAACTTTTGACGCCGTACGATTGTAAACGGAGATCGGGAAGCCCTTCTCCGCAATGTTAAGGGCTAGGTTCTGGCCCATCACAGCCAACCCCGCCAACCCGATCCGTGAAAGCGCAGCAGCCTCCATCAAGGTTTAGGGTTCCAGCGGAAGCACCGAGAAACGAATGGCTCAAGGATAATAAAGGAGCAGCAGCGGAGTGTTTTGGAATAGAAGTGAGGACGAATAGACAGGAGCATGTGACTGCTGAAGAAATAAGATTGGAAATCGACCGTCGATGTCCTCTATCCCACAGTACGTAGCGATCTCAGAACCCTGAAGCCGATTGGTCTGCCTCGGCCAGTTCGCCCTGCAAGCGGGCGTCACAATGGATAATGGTGCAGCAATCTTGTTGCCTGAGGGTGCTTTTGGGACGAACTTTTATTAGGTCCAGTGTAAGAATGTAGAGGAACGTCCTGTCGGAGATAAAATTCCATCAAAAAATTCTGTATTTGCTCGGTATTACTAGGCATTATTTGATGATAACGAGGAATACCGCTTTGTGAAGATCAATATCGAGTTATACCGAGGAATACCGAGTTGTACCGAGTTTTTTCTAGGAAAAACTCGGTACAACTTTTGTATAACTCAGTATTGCTCGGTATAGCTCGGTATAACTCGGTATTGGGTCTTCACGTGATGGTATTCCTCGTTATTGTTTGATATTGCTCGGTATTTGCTCGGTATTTCTCATTTTTTGGCGCGATTTGGCCTCCGACCGGACATTTCTCTACGTCCGGTCGGAGGACGTAATAATTGTTCTTTTGGGACGGCTGCAGCTGTCGGTAAAGTAGGTTGTGAAATTATTGTACATAAAGTTGCTTTAAAGAAATCATTATATTTTGTTTGTATAGTATAACTGTAGAGCTACCGTGCTGCAGCTGCATGGAAACAATTTATCTTCATACCCCTATATATATTTAGATGACATATATAATTTTTTAAAATATAAATTTTTTTTAAAATGTATATAATCATCTTAACGATTCTAAATCAAAATTGTATCACTTCTTAAGTTGGTACAACTTTTTTTAAATATTTTAAAGCTGCCAAAATTTTTTTTAAATATTGTTGTAAAAAATAAATTTTTATTAAAAATATTTGAAAGCCATACAAAAAATGAAAAAAATATAAATTATAATTACAATTTCAAAAGCTACGTAAAAAAAATTTATTCATGCCTTAATTTTAATGCTTTTGATAAAATTTGAATAAAATATGTTAAAAATTTTGTTATTTCACTTCTACGAAGTTGACAAATATACCTAAGAATACTTGAAAAATATCTTTTACAAGAAGTAAAAATGTGCTGATTACTAAAGAAAACCTAAGAAAAGTTTGAATAAAATATTACTTTTATTAACAATAATAATTTTTTTTTTTTTTTGAAAATGCAAATAGCAATTGGCATTAAGAACAAAGAAACTAGTTACAAGAAGCAAAGGCCTCACATTCCTTCTTAATTAATTTAGACAATTTAGAAGGAATGTTGGCAAAAGAAAAACTATCAAAATAAAAGTTAAAGCTTAAAGCTAAAGTAGCACAACCATCCGCTACTTTATTACAATCTCTATGAGTATGATTAATGAAGACTTTATTAAAATCATTGAGGAAAGAAAGATCTATTCCTTCATACCTCGTGTTAGGATGTGTCTTGAGCTTATTCAAAGAAGATTGAATAAAATTTATGATATTTATGTTGTCACCTTCTATGATAATACCTTTTGCTTCAAACATCCAAGGTTGTATGAAATCCTTAAGGATTAACACAGCATCAAGTTCAAGTTGAGAAATATCCCAATGAGTCTTCTTTTTGCCAAATGCCAATAAAAGTCTTCCTTTGTGGTCTCTAAAAATACCACCAATTCCACCTTGATTTGTCTTTAATAA